CATTCCTCCATGCAGATCTCCTCTAGAGCAGTGATGTTTTGGGGCTGTCGCTGGGCAACACGGATTTTCAACTCCCTCCAAAGATTTTCTATGGGGTTGAGATCTGGAGACTGGCTAGGCCACTCCAGGACCTTGAAATGCTTCTTACGAAGCCACTCCTTCGTTGCCCGGGCGGTGTGTTTAGGATCATTGTCATGCTGAAAGACCCAGCCACGTTTCATCTTCAATGCCCTTGCTGATGGAAGGAGGTTTTCACTCAAAATCTCACGATACATGGCCCCATTCATTCTTTCCTTTACACGGATCAGTCGTCCTGGTCCCTTTGCAGAAAAACAGCCCCAAAGCATGATGTTTCCACCCCCATGCTTCACAGTAGGTATGGTGTTCTTTGGATGCAACTCAGCATTCTTTGTCCTCCAAACACGACGAGTTGAGTTTTTACCAAAAAGTTCTATTTTGGTTTCATCTGACCATATGACATTCTCCCAATCATCTTCTGGATCATCCAAATGCACTCTAGCAAACTTCAGATGGGCCTGTACAGCAGGGGGACAAATCCTGCACTGCAGGATTTGAGTCCCTGGCGGCGTAGTGTGTTACTGATGGTAGGCTTTGTTACTTTGGTCCCAGCTCTCTGCAGGTCATTCACTAGGTCCCCCCGTGTGGTTCTGGGATTTTTGCTTACCGTTCTTGTGATCATTTTGACCCCACGGGGTGAGATCTTGCGTGGAGCCCCAGATCGAGGGAGATTATCAGTGGTCTTGTATGTCTTCCATTTCCTAATAATTGCTCCCACAGTTGATTTCTTCAAACCAAGCTGCTTACCTATTGCAGATTCAGTCTTCCCAGCCTGGTGCAGGTCTACAATTTTGTTTCTGGTGTCCTTTGACAGCTCTTTGGTCTTGGCCATAGTGGAGTTTGGAGTGTGACTGTTTGAGGTTGTGGACAGGTGTCTTTTATACTGATAACAAGTTCAAACAGGTGCCATTAATACAGGTAACGAGTGGAGGACAGAGGAGCCTCTTAAAGAAGAAGTTACAGGTCTGTGAGAGCCAGAAATCTTGCTTGTTAGTAGGTGACCAAATACTTATTTTCCACCATAATTTGCAAATAAATTCATTAAAAATCCTACAATGTGATTTTCTGGAGAAAAAAAATCTCAATTTGTCTGTCATAGTTGACGTGTACCTATGATGAAAATTACAGGCCTCTCTCATCTTTTTAAGTGGGAGAACTTGCACAATTGGTGGCTGACTAAATACTATTTTTCCCCACTGTATGTCGGCCATTGTGTGGTTATGACTGTGGAAGAACACATTAACAGCCTCTCTCTGCCTTCTGCTCATTGCTGCTCGAGACAGATAAAGGCTTCTGCCTGTAGTTAATAATTTCCCACCGCTTAAAATTAGATGACAAAGTTGAAAATTGTATAGATCAGAAAGTCCTCTTCTGTGATTAAGCAGAAGCAGAGAGAAATACACTTTTGGCATTACTGCCTCTCTCTCTTCCTGTCTGTCCGCCTCGGGTTCTTGTTCATTCTTGCTCTCTCTCCGCTCAATCCATCTTTACCTCTCACCTCCCCTCTTCTCTTGCTCCTCTCCTCCGCAGGTTAGGCAGTCTGATTGGGCCTCATTCAGAGGAAAAAAGCCAGATGAAAAATAGGCGGATTACCAAACAAAGGGCAGTCTCAAGGGGGTTGTGCTTGTAATAACAATTCCATCTAAATGCAGATTTGATATCTACTGCAATGCGACCATGTCGATTACATTCATTATTTAACCATGTGGGAACAGAGCAATATTTTATCCTGGGCCTCTGCTTTAAGCAGTAATTTGGATTTTTAAGAAGGTATCTGCAATTGATTTATTTTGATTTTGTGTCGCAAATTGTTGCGGTCGAGGTAGAAAACAAAATACAATCTGGGAAAGGGAAGAGGTGAGACAAATAAACACATTTGTACAAACAAAGTTGACAGAAGGAGACTTAGGAGAGGGCACATTTTGTGAATAGTGCTTTCTGCTTGGCTTAATTCACTGCTCATTTGTTTAGGTGCTGTGGGAACACGGCTAATACAATGGTAATGTGTGGATAACCAAACTGGCTCTGGCCAAGTGAAAAGTGGAACGGGGTTTGGCAAATAATGCCATGCCTCATGTTTATACAGTTGAAGCATTATTGGTGCTTCTCAGTTTAAGCATACATTTGGCTGTATTAAATTCTACCCAGCTCCAGGCGAGGTGGCCCAGAAATTGCAGCGTGATAGTCCTTGGGGACTGTGTGTGTGTGTAGTTGTGCATGTGTGTGTGTGTGTGTGTGTGTGTATGTGTGTGTGGTAAACACACTTATGAGTGCCACATCCCTGTGGGAGGTAGAGGAAAGGGAGGGGAGGAGTGTGATGTCTGACAGCCTCCCCTGAACAACAGTGTGTGTGTCATCAGGCCTACTGACTCACTCCACTAAGCCTAAGAGAACCAGCACTCTCCCATCTCTGCCTCATGCTGCCGAAGTAGAGACACTTTATATAGGGAGAAAGATGTGTGCGTGCGTGCGTATACATACTGTAGGTGTGATTTTCAATCACATTACACCATTTCCCTTCTATAAATCACACCGTTGCTTCTCCTTTCCTCCATTTGCCATCCTCACCATCATGTTCTGAGCAGAGTGCCAGCCCCGAACGGTCCTCTTCATCTTTTTACTGTGTTTCTCCCCTCTGAGGAAAGAGGAAATTGGGCTGCGGGCTATCAAGTGAACCAAGTACAGAAGTGCCACCATTTCCCCTGAAAGACTGACACACATTACCTTCTGTACTCAGAGGACGGTCTCATATGTCACACAGGGAAACTGTACCTACCGAAACATTCTGTGTCAGGAACAGAGAATGCCCCGTATGACACTACTGATGAGGTCAATTGCCTTCAGTGGCACAGAAATCTCAGGAAATTCCTTGTGACCTTGTTGACTTTGTAACATAATCAAATCTGTCTCATAATAGATATGGTTTAAAGCCACTTCTGCAGCACACAAAAGTTGTAGTTCACAGTAAGTTATGTTTCCATTTTGAGCTCGTGTTGATATTTCCTAGCCCCATTACACGGCACTCTTTGAAAAGAGGCGGAAGTGTTTTCTTCACAGGTCACAGCTCCTTTGGTAGGTTGAGCATCACTTGAGTGTGCTGAGAGAAAAAAGCCTTTTTTAAACATGAATCACCTTTCATGCCGTCGAATGCAGCGCCAGTGACACGGTTCAGAATAGATCAGCTAGGTGAGGGAGTCAAACAGCACCATGGGCATCTCGGAGTGTTGAGCATGTCACACACAGACAGATGGAGAGGAGCCCTGTGTGTGTTGATGTTAAGCTCTTCGCCAATTGGTCCTCAGCCTCTTAGGAAGCCAGGGGTAAAGCATATAAACCAGAACTGACAGCTATTCACACGTCTCGTCTGCTATCTGTATGCCCTGGCACATTAAACTATCAGGCAGGAAATTAAATATTGCCACAAAAACATGTGTGTGTGTGTGTGTGTGTGTATGTAACTATCAGGCAGGAAATTAAATATTGCCACAAAAGCAATTTCATCCATTCCGGATCAGGCATAATTCAATGGGAATTGAAAATGAGGTAACAGAGGCAAAATTGAATTGCCGTCACAAAGACTGAATAAAATGAAATTGCTAGCTGAAGCCGAGCGAAAACATCAAGCCTGATTTCAAAAAGGAAAACAAATGAAAAATGGATTGTGTCAGAAGAAAACCAAATAAATGAACAGAGGCAAAAATAAAAAGCTTCAGCGGCCGTCTGTGGCTGCCTGGTTGTCACACCCTGGCTCTGGGGACTCTATATGTTGAGCCAGGGTGTGTAGATTCTATGTATTCTAGTTCTGTGTTGTAGGTCTATGTGTTCTATTTCTATGTTGGCCAGTGTGGTTCTCAATCAGAGGCAACGAGTGTCAGCTGTGGCTGGTTGTCTCTGATTGGGAACCATATTTAAACAGTCTGTTTTCCATTCGTGTTTGTGGGATCTTGTTCCGTTTGGGTTGTGTTTACCGTAGGACGTCACGTTTTCGTTTTGTTGTTTTGTTCGTGCATTCATTATATAAATAAATATGTTCGTTCATCACGCTGCGCCTTGGTCTACTCCATATAACGATCGTGACACTGGTGGTCGAATGAAGAATGGAATGAGAAAGGAAAGAGAAGGAAAGGGAGAGAGAAAAGCACAATGGCATGTCTGTGATGATCTCGGGACGCATCGCTCTTCCAATCAGCTAGTTAATTACAGTGGAGATAGCCAGGAGAGACACTCCCCCTGCGGCGACGCCACAACCCGCTCCGCCTCACTCTAAGTGAGTCGACACAATGCAGGTGTCGAGGAAACTGATACTAATGAAAATAAATCAATCCCCTAATTTCCTCTACTACCTACCATAAGCCACTGCCTTCAGTTCTCTCTCTCTCCTTTTCCCTTTTCTCTCCTTCCTTCCTTCTCTCATTCATAACAGCACGTCACTAGCAGTCTGTCTCTCCCCCCTGCTGTCTGGGAAATCGAGAGAGAAATAAGAGGGGTTAGTGTATTTCTCCCCTTGTTCCGCTCAAACGATACAGCTTATCTGACAGATCTCAATGTTCTTATTAATTCATGCTTTTCTAAGAGAGGTCCCACAGTGAGTGAGTTGCTGATTGAAAGTGTGTATAATAAGGAGGGCTTTTAAGGGGGTAGTGTGTGTGCCAGACTGTATTCCTTGGTGGCCTTTCCAGGCGCTGGCAGCTGATTCTGTCGATACCTCCATCCCAACACGCTCCCACATAACATAATGAGTTTGGGCTGGGAATGCTCTCAGGAGGAGCAGGGAGGAGGAGTGGAGGGAGGGAGGGAGTAGTGGAGGGATGAAGGGATGGATGGAGGAGGAGTGGAGGGAGGGAGGGAGGGAGGGAGGACTGGAGGGATGAAGGGATGGATGGAGGAGGAGTGGAGGGAGGGAGGACTGGAGGGATGAAGGGATGGATGGAGGAGGAGTGGAGGGAGGGGAGGGAGGGAATGGAGGGATGAAGGGATGGATGGTGGAGGAGGCAGTGGAAGGGAGGGAGGGGAAGGGATGGATTGGGAGGAGTGGCGGAGGGAGGGAGACCAATGGAGGATGGATGGAGGAGGAGTGGAGGTGAATAAAAAAGAGCCAGTTGGGTTTTATAGCTTCCAAACTAAACCTCATTTATAAAAGGTGAACTGTATGAACGGATAGAGATACAGTCCATAGACGTGACTGTAGAGTGTGTGTGGAATGTTTATGACAACCCTCATTTGTTATGATGAAAATGGTCCAATAATTAATCATTGAGACAGGCTTTCAGGTTTGAACAGATGAAACTGTTCACTTCATACAGAGTTTGATTGATGGCTTTTGAAAATACAAGTTTAATCTCCCCATCTGTACTGTAGCGTTCGCTCTGTATGTGTGGGGGGAATTGTCTGATATAGTGCCTTCGGAAAGTATTCAGACCTCTTGACTTTTTCCACATTTTGTTACATTACAGCTTTATTCTAAAATTGATTAAATTGTTTTTTCCCCTCATCAATCTACACACAAAACCCATAATGACAAAGCAAAAACAGTTTTTTTGACATTTTTGCTAATTTATTTACAAAAGAAAACTGAAATATTACATTTACATAAGTATTCAGACCCTTTACTCAGTACTTTGTTGAAGCACCTTCGGCAGTGATTACAGCATCGAGTCTTCTTGGGTATTATGCTACAAGCTTGGCACAGCTGTATTTGGGGAGTTTCTCCCATTCTTCTCTGCAGATGATCTCAAGATCTGTCAGGTTGGATGGGGAGCGTTGCTGCACAGCTATTTTCAGGTCTCTCCAGAGATGTTCGATCGGGTTCAAGTCCGGGCTCTGGCTGGGCCACTCAAGGACATTCAGAGACTTGTTTCCGAAGTCACTCCTACGTTGTCTTGGCTGTGTGCTTAGGGTTGATGTCCTGTTGGAAGGTGAACCTTCGCCTCAGTCTGAGGACCTGAGTGCTCTGGAGCAGGTTTTCATCAAGGATCTCTCTGTACTTTTCTCCGTTCATCTTTGCCTCGATCCTGACTAGTCTCCCAGTCCCTGCCGCTGAAAAATATCCCCACAGCATGATGCTGCCACCACCATGCTTCACCGTAGGGATGGTGCCAGGTTTCCTCCAGACTTGACACTTGGCATTCAGGCCAAAGAGTTCAAACTTGGATTCATCAGACCAGAGAATCTTGTTTCTCATGGTCTGAGAGTCTTTAGGTGCCTTTGGCAAACTCCAAGCGGGCTGTCATGTGTCTTTTACTGAGGAGTGGCTTCTGTCTGGCCACTCTACCATAAAGGCCTGATTGGTGGAGTGCTGCAGAGATGATTGTCCTTCTGGAAAGTTCTCCCATCTCTACATAGGAACTCTAGAGCTCTGTCAGAGAGACCATCGGGTTCTTGGTCACCTCCCTGACCAAGGCCCTTCTCCCCCGATTGCTCAGTTTGGCCGGGCAGCCAGCTCTAGGAAGAGTCTTGGTGGTTCCAAACTTCTTCCATTTAAGAATGATGGGGGCCACTGTGTTCTTGGGGACCTTCAATGCTACAGACATTCTTTGGTACCCTTCCCCAGATCTGTGCCTCGACACAATCCTGTCTCTGAGCTCTACAGACAATTCCTTCGACCTCATGGCTTGGTCTTTGCTCTGACATGTATTGTCAACTGTGGGACCTTATATAGACAGGTGTGTGCCTTTCGAAATCATGTCCAATCAATTGAATTTAACACAGGTGGACTCCAATCAAGTTGTAGAAACATCTCAAGGATGATCAATGGAAACAGGATGCACCTGAGCTCAATTTCGAAACTCATAGCAAAGGGTCTGAATACTCATGTAATTAAGATATTTCAGTTTTTTATAAAAACCTGTTTTCGCTTTGTCATTATGGGGTATTGTGTGTAGATTGCTGAGGATGTTTATTTATTTAATCAATTTTAGAATAAGGCTGTAACATAACAAAATGTGGAAAAAGTCAAGGGGTCTGAATACTTTCCGAAGGCACTGTAAATCAATGACCAATAATCAATCAGAAAGAATGGGAAGGGGACCATCCTCTTGTTTCAACACTTAACAATAGAGGGACTGGTTGAACAAGCAACAGGATGAAACCATTACATCTCCCAATAGATTCATAGGAATCCATCCCCACCCCACTCAATGCCAAAGAGAATAGCATGCAACAGTATTGTATATCAGTGATCCCCTTCCAGCCCAGTACTAACACACACCTGATTCAGCTGATCCAGATATTGATAACAAGTTGATGAAAAGTATTATTATGCTGTAGTACAACTAGCCTCCATTTCCAGTCTTTCACATTCACTTTACAGAAAAAATTGTCAGACTACTGTAGTCCTATATATATTCTGACTGTGTATATTTCCCCTCCCCTCCCCTCCCCCTCTTTTAAAAAAAAAGGGGAAAAAACCCAAAAAAAACCCCCCCCCTTTTTTTTTTTTTTTTTTTAAAACCCTTTTTTTTTTTTTTTTTATTTTTTTTTTTTTTTTTCCTTTTTTTAAAAAAATTTTTTTTTCCCCCCCTTTGGAAAAAACCTTTGGGGCCCAAACCAAAAATAAAAATTTTTTTAAAAAAAAAACCCCCTTTTTAAATTTTTAAAAAAAAAATTTTCCAAAAAAAAAAACCCCTTAAAAAAAAATTTAGAAAAAAAAAAAAACCCCCCCCGGGGGGGGTTTTTTTAAAAAGGGCCCCTTTTTAAAAATTAAAAAATTTTTTTTTAAAAAATTTTTTAAAAAAAATTTTTGGGGGGTTTTTTGGGGGTTTTAAAATTTTTTTTTTAAAAAAAAAAATTTTTAAAAAAAAAAAAAAATTTTAAAAAAAAACCCCCCCGGGTTATTTTTTTCCCCCCCCCCCCCCCCCCCCCCCCCCCCCTTTTCCCCCCCCCCCTTTTTTCCCCCCCCCCTTTTTTTTTTCCCCCCCCCCTTTTTTTTCCCCCCCCAAAATTTTTCCCCCCCCCTTCCCCCCCAAAAGGTTTCCCCCCTTTTTTCCCCCCCTTTTTCCCCCCCTTTTTTCCCCCCCCCCCCCCCCTTTTTCCCTTTTTTTTTCCCCCCCCTTTCCCCCCCCCCCCCTTTCCCCCCCCTTTCCGAAAATTTTTTTTTTTTTTTCCCCCCCCCCCCCCCCTTTTTTTCCCCCCCCCCCCCCCCCCCCCCCCCCCCCGGGGGGGGGGGGGGGGGGGGGAAAAAAAAAAAAAAAAAAAAAAAAAAAAAAAAAAAAAAAAAAAAAAGGGGGGGGGGGGGGGGGGTTTTTTTTTTTTTTTTTTTGGGGGGGGGGGGGGGGGGGGGAAAAAAAAAAAAAAAGGGGGGGGGGGGGGGGGGGGGGGGAAAAAAAAAAACCCCCCCCCCCCAAAAAAAAAAAAAAAAAAAAAGGGGGGGGAAAACCCCCCCTTTTCCCCCCCCCCCCTTTTTTTTTTCCCCCCCCCCCCCTTTTCCCCCCCCCCCCCCCCCAAAAAAAAAACCCCCCCCCCCCCCCCCCCCCCCTTTTCCCCCCCCCCCCCTTTTCCCCCCCCCCCCCAAAAAAAAAAAGGGGGGGCCCCCCCCCCCCCCCCCCTTTTTTCCCCCCCCCCCCCCCCCCCCCCCTTTTTTTTTTTTCCCCCCCCCCCCCCCCCCCCCCCTTTTTTTTTTCCCCCCCCCCCAAAAAAAAAACCCCCCCGGGGCCCCCCCCCCCGGGGGGCCCCCCCCCGGGGGTTTTTCCCCCCCCCCCCCCCCCCCCCCCCCCCAAAACCCAAAAAGGGGCCCCCCCCGGGGCCCCCCCCCCCCCCCCCCCGGGGGGGGGGGCCCCCCCCCCCCCCCCCCCCCCCCCCCCCCTTTTTTTTTTTTTTTTAAAAAAAAAAAAAACCCCCCCCCCCCCCCCGGGGGAAAAAAAAAAAAAAAAAAAACCCCCCCCCCCCCCCCCCCCCCCCCGGGGGGGGGGGGGGCCCCCCCCCCCCAAAAAAAAAAAAAAAAAAAAAAGGGGGGGGGGGGGGGGGGGGGGGGGAAAAAAAAAAAAAAAAAAAAAAAGGGGGGGGCCCCCCCCCCCCTCCCCCCCCCCCTCCCCCCCCCCCCTTCCCCCCCCTTTTAAATCCCCCCCCCCCCCTTTTTTCCCCCCCCCCCTTTTTCCCCCCCCAAAACCCCCCCGGGGGTTTTCGCCCCCCCCCGGGGGCCCCCCCCCCTTGGGGGGGGCCGGGGAGGGGGGGGGCCCCCGGGGGCCCCGGGGGCCCCAAAAACCCCCCCCCCCAACCCAAAAAAAGGGGGGGAAAAAAAAAGGGGGGGCCCTTTTTTTTTAAAAAAGGAAAATTTTTTTAAAAAAAACCGGGGGTAAAAAAAAATTTTTTTTTTTTTTTTTTTAAAAAAAAAAAGGGTTTTTGGGGGTTTGGGGGGGGGGGGTTTTTTAACCAAAATTTAAAAACCCCAAAATTTTTTTTTTTCCCCCGGGGCCCCCTTTTTTTTTTGGGAAAAAAGGGTTTCCCCCGGGGGGGGGGGGCCCCCCCCCCCTTTTTTTTAAAAATTTGGCCCCCCCAAATTTTAAAAAGGGGCCCCCAAAAAAAAAAGAAAAAAAAAATTTTTTTTTGGGGAAATTTTCCCCCTTTTTTTTTTTGGGAAAAAAAAAAACCCCCCTTTTTTCCTTTTTTTTTTTCCCAAATTTTTTAAAATTTTTCCCGGGAAAAATTTTTTTTTTTTCCCCCCCTTTTTTTTTTTCCCTTTTTAAAAAATTTTTTTTTTTTTAAACCCCCCCCCCTTTTTTTCCCCCCTTTTTTTTTTTTTTTTTTCCCCAATTTTTTTTTTTCTTTTTTTTTTTTTTTTTTGGGGGGGGGGTTTTTTTCCCCCCCCCCTTTCCCTTTTGGGAAAATTTCCCCGGGGCCGGCCCCCCCGGGGCCCCCAAAACCTTAAACCCCCCCGGGGGGGGGGGAAAAAAAGGCAAAACGGGGGGGGTTTGGGGGAAAAAAAACCTCCTCTGTCTTCTTCTCCTATCCTCTCTCCAGCCTGGTGTGTTCAGACCCAGTGGTGAACATGAGGAAGGTGACGCACCAGATGGTGAGGGAGCAGCTGGCCAACAGCGTCCTGCTGCCCTGTGTCTTCACCCTGCGCCCCACCCCTACCCATGAGCCCCCCCGCATCAAGTGGACCAAGGTGTGGGGCCAGAGGGGTGCCGACGGTCGGCAGAGGGAACAGTCCGTCCTGGTCGCCAAGGACAATGTGGTCAAGGTAAAGACTGAGGAAGTGTAAAGAAATAGAAAATGTCACATTGTTTTGATATATATTTCTAAATGGAATTCAGTGGTTTTATAGGGCTGTGACAGTCATGGAATTTTAGGTGGCGGTTATTTGTCAGCCAAATGCCTAGGCAACCTAAGAATGTTTGCTACATCACCCTGCTGAAACAAGGAGCAACAAAGTTTAATCACGTTGTAAACGGACTCAACAGCACTTATCATCTTTTTGGATGCTCGGCCGTCCGTGGTCCTCTGTAGCTCAATTGGTAGAGCATGGCGCTTGTAACGCCAGGGTAGTGGGTTCGATCCCCGGGACCACCCATATGTTAAAATGTATGCACACATGACTGTAAGTCGATTTGGATGAAAGTGTCTGCTAAATGGCATATTATTATTATTATGACACAAAATTCAAAAACTGGCTAGTTTTGCCTCCTCTTGTCTCTCCTTATATCAGCTGTTAGATGTAAACCAGGCTTACTTTAACTTTGCTGCTTTTGGGTTTGTCAAATTATTTGTAAATTTCTTTACAGTTATGACGGTTATTTTATTTTCATGACGGCCTTCATCCATAATTGTCGGTTACACGATTATACAATTACCATGCCAGCCCTAATTTTATATGGAGAGTGTGTTGGCCATCCATCCAGTACTTATATTCAACCTTTTTCTTTTTAATTGCTATCTTAGTTGTCTTTGCTAATCGTGTTTTAATTGTGTTCATAACTGTACTGTCTTTCCGTGGTTTAGGTGAAGAAGGCGTTCCAGGGGCGCGTCACCCTGCCCGGTTACCAGGACAACCGTTTCAACGCCAGCCTGGCACTCAGCGGCCTGCGCTCCAGTGACTCAGGCATGTTCCGCTGTGAGGTGGTGGTGGGCATCAATGACGAACAGGACACCGTGCCCCTGGAGGTCACAGGTAATACTGACTGACCCCTGTTACACCTATTACACACAGGTCCTGTTCATTAGGCACCAAACGGAAGAAAACGTACACAACCAGGGAGGGACTACCTAGACTCGTCAAATAAGAAATTGCCATTTTCCTTTTCCGTAGCAAAACGATTTAAAGTGTTTGTGGCCTAATGAACACAACCCTGACTGTACCTCTACCTGGCATTGCTAATAGAATCATTATGTAAGCCAGTGGGTTTGTTAACTTTGTGGAAGTGTCTGGTCAGGGGAACGGAACAACATGTGCCAACTGGACCGAGTAACAGATCGTTGACCCAGCCGCTCACGAAAGCAAATAAACATAATGAGAAAATAAAGTGTGTTATCCAGCTAGTGTTACTTTGAGGGCTCTGAGATGCAGTTTATGTTGAATACACCCACTGCTGCACTGTAATGGCCTGTGGATATTATATGCCATATCAGCTAATAGTATCATAGTAATTACCAAATGAAAGTCTCTGAGCTGAGAAACATTGTCAGATTTTTCCAGGTCACCTGCTGTTTTTAATGATCGCCTATTACAGTAATGAGTAGAGGGAAGTGGCGCTCTGTTCTCAGCATTTGCTTTACAGTGCTGCTCTATCTCACCTAGATCTACACAATGTTGCCAGCGTGAGCTGAGCATCATGTCCGCATTAAGCCCAGTAGCCTCATTCACTCACCCACATACTGTACCCAGGCTCCATGAGCTCCCAGTGAGAATAGCACAGATATTATTACCTAATATAGCCACTGTGTGTTTGTGCCCATGCGCTTGTGGATCTGTGTGTATGCATGCGCTTGTGCGTATGGCGTGTGCATGCCTGCATGCCCGTGCGTGTGTGACAGTGGCCTTCTCAATCAATGATTATGACATCAAGGGTTGTGGTTTTTCTCCACCCACAGCTCCTCTCTCTCTCTCTCCTCTCTCTCTTCTCTCTCCATGAGGGCACTTTATTGGTCCCATAGAGACCCCTGGCTCGGTGCTCAAGAGACCCTGTCCCCCCCGCACACCCAATCAATTAACATGCTATAAAAACCCCTCCCTCCTTCAGAAACAGAAAACCATTACCCATTGGTCCTTCTGGGAGCAACCGAGCCATCCTCTGGGCTTAGCCATTTATTGCAAGTCACGCTACATTGTAGAGCGCACCAGTCCCAATACTTACTCCCCCAAGTGCTTAATACAGTGGGGGGAAAAAGTATTTAGTCAGCCACCAATTGTGCAAGTTCTCCCACTTAAAAAGATGAGAGAGGCCTGTAATTTTCATCATAGGTACACGTCAACTATGACAGACAAAATGAGAAAAAATAATCCAGAAAATCACATTGTAGGATTTTTAATGAATTTATTTGCAAATTATGGTGGAAAATAAGTATTTGGTCAATAACAAAAGTTTCTCAATACTTTGTTATATACCCTTTGTTGGCAATGACACAGGTCAAACGTTTTCTGTAAGTCTTCACAAGGTTTTCACACACTGTTGCTGGTATTTTGGCCCATTCCTCCATGCAGATCTCCTCTAGAGCAGTGATGTTTTGGGGCTGTCGCTGGGCAACACGGACTTTCAACTCCCTCCAAAGATTTTCTATGGGGTTGAGATCTGGAGACTGGCTAGGCCACTCCAGGACCTTGAAATGCTTCTTACGAAGCCACTCCTTCGTTGCCCGGGCGGTGTGTTTGGGATCATTGTCATGCTGAAAGACCCAGCCACGTTTCATCTTCAATGCCCTTGCTGATGGAAGGAGGTTTTCACTCAAAATCTCACGATACATGGCCCCATTCATTCTTTCCTTTACACGGATCAGTCGTCCTGGTCCCTTTGCAGAAAAACAGCCCCAAAGCATGATGTTTCCACCCCCATGCTTCACAGTAGGTATGGTGTTCTTTGGATGCAACTCATCATTCTTTGTCCTCCAAACACGACGAGTTGAGTTTTTACCAAAAAGTTCTATTTTGGTTTCATCTGACCATATGACATTCTCCCAATCATCTTCTGGATCATCCAAATGCACTCTAGCAAACTTCAGACGGGCCTGGACATGTACTGGCTTAAGCAGGGGGACACGTCTGGCACTGCAAGATTTGAGTCCCTGGCGGCGTAGTGTGTTACTGATGGTAGGCTTTGTTACTTTGGTCCCAGCTCTCTGCAGGTCATTCACTAGGTCCCCCCGTGTGGTTCTGGGATTTTTGCTCACTGTTCTTGTGATCATTTTGACCCCACGGGGTGAGATCTTGCGTGGAGCCCCAGATCGAGGGAGATTATCAGTGGTCTTGTATGTCTTCCATTTCCTAATAATTGCTCCCACAGTTGATTTCTTCAAACCAAGCTGCTTACCTATTGCAGATTCAGTCTTCCCAGCCTGGTGCAGGTCTACAATTTTGTTTCTGGTGTCCTTTGACAGCTCTTTGGTCTTGGCCATAGTGGAGTTTGGAGTGTGACTGTTTGAGGTTGTGGACAGGTGTCTTTTATACTGATAACAAGTTCAAACAGGTGCCATTAATACAGGTAACGAGTGGAGGACAGAGGAGCCTCTTAAAGAAGAAGTTACAGGTCTGTGAGAGCCAGAAATCTTGCTTGTTTGTAGGTGACCAAATACTTATTTTCCACCATAATTTGCAAATAAATTCATAAAAAATCCTACAATGTGATTTTCTGGATTTTTTTTCGAAATTTGTCTGTCATAGTTGACGTGTACCTATGATGAAAATTACAGGCCTCTCTCATCTTTTTAAGTGGGAGAACTTACACAATTGGTGGCTGACTAAATACTTTTTTTCCCCACTGTATATTAATTGACAACGCATTGATACTGGGCCGGCCATATCAATATCATATTAATTCAGGGCTGCGCTGATAGGCTTGTTTTTGTGTGTCGTCTAAGACTTGATGAGGTTTTCCTCCTGTGCTTTCGGCCCATATTGAATGGTCAATTGTCTGTCTCACCAATTAGAGCTCAGGCATTGATCCTCGCTGTCAGCCACAGTCATGAGATATGTCAGGCCGGCTTAAGTGCTGAGCCACAAATAGACATATCTACACACGAGTGATGATATCTGCTATTCATGCTCCGCCCAGTCAAAACTGTTCGCTGCTCTGGCACCCCAATGGTGGGACAAGCTCCGTCACGACGCCAGGACAGCGGAGTCACTCACCACCTTCCGGAGACACTTGAAACCCCACCTCTTTAAGGAATACCTGGGATAGGATGAAGTAATCCTTACCCCACCCCAAAGAAAAAATTAATAATAATAATTAAAAAATTTAAAAAATTAAAAATTGAAAAATATTGTAAAGTGGTTGTCCCACTGGCTATCATAAGGTGAATGCACCAATTTGTAAGTCGCTCTGGATAAGAGCGTCTGCTAAATGACGAAAATGTAAAATGTAGATAGGACTGTATCAGTGTTGAATACAGTATACCGTGTTACAACAAGGGTGTCACCCAGTTACATACAGCTATATTTGTTACGTTACAGCCTTATTCTAAAACTGATTAAATAAAAAACATTCTCAGCAATCTACACACAATACCCCATAATGACAAAGTGAAAACGTTTTTTAGAAATGTTTGCAAATGTTTTAACATTTTAAAACAGAAATACCTTATTTACATAAGTATTCAGACCTTTTGCTATGAGACTCGAAATTGAGCTCAGGTGCATCCTGTTTCCATTGATCATCCTTGAGATGTTTCTGCAACTTGATTGGAGTCTACCTGTGGTAAATGTAATTGATTGAACATGATTTGGAAAGGCTGTCCATATAAGGTCCCACAGTTGACAGTGCATGTCAGAGCAAAAACCAAGCCATGAGGTCGGAATTGTTCGTATAGCTCCGAGACAGGATTGTGTCGAGGCACAAAACAATTCTGCAGCATTGAAGGACCCTAAGAACACAGTGGCCCCCATCATTCTTAAACGGAAGACGTTTGGAACCACCAAGACTCTTACTAGAGCTGGCCGCCCGGCTAAACTGAGCAATCGGGGGAGAAGGGCCTTGGTAAGGGAGGTGACCAAGAACCCGATGGCCACTCTGACAGAGCTCTAGAGTTCCTCTGTGGAGATGGGAGAACCTTCCAGAAGGACAACCATCTCTGCAGCACTCCACCAATCAGGCCTTTATGGTAGAGTGGCCAGAAGGAAGCCACTCCTCAGTTAAAGGCACATGACAGCCTGCTTGCAGCTTGCCAAAAGGCACCTAAAGACTCTCAGACCATGAGAAACAAGATTCTCTGGTCCGATGTAACCAAGATTGAACTCTTTGGCCTGAATGCCAAGCGTCACATCTTGAGGAAACCTGGCACCATCCCTACGGTGAAGCATGGTGGTGGCAGCATCATGCTGTGGGGATATTTTTCAGCGGCAGGGACTGGGAGACTAGTCAGGATCGAGGCAAAGATGAACGGAGCAAAGTATAGAGATCGTTGATGAAAACCTGCTCAAGAGCACTCAGGACCTCAGACTGGGGCGAAGGTTCACCTTCCAACAGGACAACGACTCTAAGCATACAGCCAAGACAACGCAGAAGTGGCTTCGGGACAAGTCTCTGAATGTCCTTGAGTGGCCCAGCCAGAGCCCGGACTTGAACCCGATCTAACATCTCTGGAGAGACCTGAAAATAGCTGTGTAGCAACGCTCCCCATCCAACCTGACAGATCTTGAGAGGATCTGCAGAGAAGAATGGAAGAAACTCCTCAAATACAGATGTGACAAGCTTGTAGCGTCATACCCAAGAAGAATCGATGCTGTAATTGCTGCCAAAGGTGCTTCAAGAAAGTAATGAGTAAAGGGTCTGAATACTTATGTAAATGTCATATTTCAGTTTTTTATATTTAATAAATTAGTAAACCTAGATTGATGAGGAAAAAATACAATTTAATCAATTTTAGAATAAGGCTGTAACGTAACAAAATGTGGAAAAAGTCAATGGTCTGAATACTTTCCGAAGGCACTGTACATCTATCTCAGTATCTGGTATCTCCTGCTGTTGTGTGTTATGGTTTGGTAAACATAGAGTAAGTGTATTAGTTCTGGGCAACGTGACCGTCCTGTTAAATGGAACTGTGTCTCCTCCGTGGTGCTCCCCATGAACCCATTTGTCTCCCAAACGCCAGAACGCTAGCAGCTCTGTGTTTGGCCTGGCTCGCCTCGGAGGAGAGGGAGTACTAACAGAGAGCCTGTTACAAAGTCCTTTGAAGTTGAGCTGGAGTGTACAGCAGTATAGAGAAACAGGATGGAGGCCTGTAGAGGGGCCAGTGTGTGTGTGTGTGTGTGTGTGTGTGTGTGTGTGTGTGTGTGTGTGTGTGTGTGTGTGTGTGTGTGTGTGTGTGTGTGTGTGTGTGAGTGTGTTACGGCCGTGCACAGACCTTGGGGAGGGCAGGTACTCAAAATAAAAAATAAAATAAATAAAATAGACTTTCACAATTCATAACTACAAATTCATAACATACAAATTGCCCTGTAGCCAAAATGTCAACATTTATATGCAACAACACACTCACTCATCATACATTTTAATACAAGTTAGTGCCAATAACTACTAGGCCTATGGATGACGAAAGATGATTGATATCGGGAAAAGAGTGGCTATTAGCTGATCAGAGCAAATGTAGTTGAAATATTCTAGCTAGCTGTCGAAACAAACTTGTTTTTACTTGATTTGCGTTTGTTCTGCTGCTGACCTCTGCCCCATTCTTTGTCCCTAACGGTGAGAGACACATATGACAGATCCAACTCAAAAGTAGCCTCCTACCAGTATTCATGTCTTCCTGCACTGCGCATGGCTCAGAAACTTTAAAAAATAAAATACATACATTCATATTTAGACATGCATCTGGATTTATAAAATGTCAATCATGTTTACTATATTTTATTTTTGACATTTCCCAACATTTTCCTTAATGACACATAAAATATTACCATATGCCCGCAGCCAGTGGCCACAATCAAGTCAGACGAGTGCGCACTTGGAATTAAATTAGCTAGTTTGATGTGCAATTCACTACATTTAAAATTAAAACTGAAATGAAAGAGATTGAAATTAATAAAATTACAAATTAAAATCCACTTTTTCATAGGAGGGCAAAAGGGCAGGTGCTTGGGCATTGGTTGAGCCCTATCTGTGCATGTGTGTGTGTGTGTGTGTGTGTGTGTGTGTGTGTGTGTGTGTGTGTGTGTGTGTGTGTGTGTATGCCTGTGTGCATGTCTGTGAGTGCATGTGTGGACTGTACCACTGAGGGATACCTGGCTCATTTTCTGAGGCTAGCCTGTAGCGTGATTGGTCAAATTGGCCCGCACCAGGAGGAGTCTGTTATTCTATTGCACAAAGGAGCAGAAGATAAAGGAGCCCATGTTTGGAGCTGTATCCAAGCTTCCCTCAGCTTCCCTGTCCACAGGCTTTCATGTAGTGGGCTCTGCTGGGATTGAATGTGTGAATTGCAGGCCGAGGTGGCCCCACATGTGGTGGTTAGTGATGCTAGCCTGGTGGGGGAATATGAGATGGACACTTCAAAAGCAATTCCCTTCCCATTTCTCAGTAGAGTGGAGAGGAATCCTGGTCATTCACAGGTCAGGGAATGAGCGCATGGGATCTCTCTTCTCTCTCTCTTTTTCTATCTCTCTCTCATCACTGTCTTATTTCACTGTTTTATTTTCTGGCTATGAAAGCAAGATAGTCCTGATGTGGACTGTATGCTAAAGCAGTAAAGTGAAAATGAATTCACTGTATCCAAGGACAAGATCTCTCCCGCACAATTGGCCCAGTGCCGTCCGGGTTTGGCCGGTGTATGCCGTCATTGTAAATAAGAATTTGTTCTTAACTGACTTGCCTAGTTAAATAAAGGTTAAATAAAAATACAAATAAAAAATAAATAAATAAAAAGATAAGCTTGTCTGATGCAAATTAACTTAAAGCTCTGAGGTCGTTTTTGTAATGTTTCGTGCAGTTAGAGATACAACAGTTTGAAGTACATGATAATGTAGGGTTTGAGCCATGTGTCTGTGTGTGCTCGTGTGTGTGTGCGAGACTGCGAGTGTGTGAATGTGCGTGTATGTATGTATGGGCGTGCGTGCCTGCGTACAATGTCTCCATATTGCCCTTGTGTCGCCATACCTGTTTTCACCTCTGTGTCCTCTCCAGGTGTGGTGTTCCACTACCGTGCTCCTCATGACCGCTACGCCCTGTCCTTCCCTGACGCCCAGCAGGTGTGTCTGGAGAACTCAGCTGTCATCGCCACGCCTGCTCAGCTCCAGGCCACCTTTGCTGACGGGTATGACAACTGTGACGCTGGCTGGCTCTCTGACCAGAGCGTGAGGTAAGGACAAGACAACCGGGCATGAAGCACGACTCAGCAAAACACAACACAGCATGGCAACTGTCTTATTTCATGTTTTTATTTAACCTTTATTTATCCAGGCGAGTCAGAACACTTTCTTATTTACAATGACGGCCTGTCCTTATAGGGTTGTTTTATAGGGCTGTAGAAATTGCTTATGTATAAATTGTTTACTTACGATACTTATCTGCTGCAACAATGTAAAGCCATATCTGACGAATAAGTATCTTTAAGAAGAGTGGCAAAGTATAAGTTTACTTCAAACTAACGAAAAATGACAGGGCTTTGATAGGCGATTAGATACCTTTTATGTTGACATTTCTCTTTGGCCTCTGAAAGTACAGTATGCAAACTGTTTTGACCCCAATGGTCCTCTCATAAACTCCTGAAGGATTTAATTGCTTGTTTACATCTCAGAGGCTAGCTGTGTCATTCCTCATTACTCTCTGCCATTTTAGCCACAACTATCCCTCAACTACCTTTCATGTTGATGTTTGTGTTTCAGCTTGCCACCTCCCATTATGTCTGTTGATGACGGATAGTCAGTGTGTGTGTGTGTGTTTGTTTGTGTGTGTGTGTAGGACAGTCAGAGTCCGTGTGGATATTTTTACACATCTTTATCTCAAACGTCTGCCCAATAATTGCACTGAAGAAGCAGCTTGCATATTTATCCTGGACAGAATTTCCCTGAGAACTGCATCCTATCCATTCCCCTCCTCCCCACCTGGGACACATATAATTGGTCTATCTCCAGAGCTACTTGGCTTCACATCAATGAGGAGGCAAACGTGCAATTAATAATGTAAAAATAGAGACATCAGCGATCAGGATGGAAAGCTGAGATGGGGGATTTAGCTATAACATTCTCTGACGACAAGGGTTGCTATCCGAGCTCATGCAGGATTGTAACTACTGAGAGTGTAAGAAGCATTCCATCCTGTTGCCCTTCATAAGCCCCTTTATAACTGTATTCATGATCTCTTAATCAGCATTTAGCCTGCACCCTCAATGCTGTTTGAATCAATGTACCTTAGAGCAATGGTCACCAACCGATCGATTGCGATCAACTGGTCGATCTCCAAGGCATTCCAATGATAAGCTTTGCGTTCCTATTTTTTTTTATTCGGCTCACGCTGTTGGCGGTAGGTGCACCCGATTCAGCTGCCCTGCTTGCTGGCTGCTCTTCCCATTTTGAACCATTTCAGATGTCCGAAGGTACAAACTGCCTTCCCGGCGGGCCCTGGGGAAGCAAATCAAGTGCACTATAAGCCTACCACTGGCCAATCGGATGGCTCAGATTACCGTGTCTGCGGTTATGTAGCAGACGTAAAAGAAAGCTACAGAAAAGTTGATACTGTTAGATTTAAAAACTTTTAAAACCATGACTAGAGAGAGACTGTCAACGAATACAGCAAAGAGCTGCTGTTTTTATGAGTGAGTTCATGTTTAAGTTTTTACTCAGCACTGTTAACACTTTCTATTTACACTTTTAGAAGCCATAAAATGCCTGTTCTCCTTACTTCCACTCGCACTACAACCAGCACTGCAGCTGCAATGAATGAGTAGGAAAGTGTATCGATAGGCTTGCGTTGTTGTTATTATTAGCGGCTTGGGTAATTTTCTACATCAAGGAATATTTGACTTTCTCTGGTCATAGGAGTAACAGCATTAATTTGTGCATGATGCAGAAATAATGCAGTGCGACTCGAGTTTCGCCGTCAGCTGCAAGATGGTGTCCCTTTTTGGTCAGTGTCAGTGGAGGAAAGGGAGAGCGGAGGGATGTTGAGAGGGGGACCCTCAGTCTGCTGCTCTCTCCCTCCACAGTAAAAAAAAATAGCAAATGTGACCGACCGCCTCGATTCGGTCTTATGTAGCAAAATTTGAAATTGTGTTTTTTTACATTGTATAAAAGTAGAGACTAAGAGCTTGAAAATGGTATATCATACACTGCAGTTGAGGAACAATGGGAAAGTAATTCTGCTTTGAAAGTTGATAAACTTGTAACCCCACTTTTAAGAAAATGGCCCTTGAATGTTTTGGTACACCTACTGGAGAGCTCTTCTTTGTCTACACCCATTAAGCATCATTCACACCCTCTTAAGCCCCACCTAGGGCTGTGCCGGTCACGAAATTTAGTCAGCCGGTGATTGTCAAGCAAATAACTGCCAGTCTCACGGTAATTGACCGTTAATTAACATAAACACATTTAGCATCTCCTGGCTTCCAAACAAAGCCTACAAGCCACTGATGCAGACCTTTGAAACATCTACATTTAAAAAAGTATAATAAATACATGTAATAGAGCCTACACCTTCACAATAAATCCATTATTTATTTTAGACAGGGCTAAAGAAACATGATATGAAGAAAATGTAGTCTATTTCAGAAGAACAGAATAGCATACTCTGAGTTGTCCTTATGTTAGGCCCTGATCTGGCTATGCCATATGGCTGTGGGCTACACAAGTTCATTTAGCAGACAAGATTTGCTTAGCATTATTTCATATTATTTTATAGTATGGAGAATACAATTGAACAAAACTGAATAAAATAGAAAGGATATTTTCTCCAAACGATTTGAGGGAGTGCGCACATAATAATAATATGCCATTTAGCAGACGCTTTTATCCAAAGCGACTTACAGTCATGTGTGCATACATTTTTACGTATGGGTGGTCCCGGGGATCGAACCCACTACCCTGGCGTTACAAGCGCCATGCTCTACCAATTGAGCTACAGAGGACCACCCATATCTAACAAAGAAATAGATACTCCTTTATGCTTAATTTAGAGTTATTCGTGTAACTTTAGTTGTTCTACAAACGTTGGGCTATTTGTTTTGATTTTTAATACATTGTAAGGCTGCATGATGCGACTCTAATGATGATTTGAAAAAAGTTGCTTGAAAGGCATGAGCTCTGCTTTGTTTTTTGCGCAGGCTGTACACACTTTATCAGTCTCTCATTCACAATCAGAGCTGGGAGAAGCCTAATTACCGTGACTAAACGGTCACGTGGAATTTGACTGTCTTCATGACTCGTGACCGCCGCTGTGGCGGTAATATGGTCACCGTAACAAGACCCCACCCATCTCTTTAAGGCCATGTGGTAAACACACGCAATATCAAATAAAATCAGACTTTATTTGTCACATGCACAGGATACAGAAGGTGTAAACGGTACACTGAAATGGTTACTTGCATAGTAGCAATATCAAAAACAGAAAGTGCCCAGATAAAAATATTGTATAAATATTTTATAATTATTAGATGACACTTACCCGACACACTAAAGCTAACAAACTAGGTTCAATGTTAGCTAGCTAACATTAGGCTATAACTAGCAATGCAAATGGTTTCTGATTTCTGACACAGATCATACACGTATTGTTAGCTAGCGAGCCAGCAAGCTAACGTTCGCTAGCTAACAAACAGTACGCTTTAACTTAAATAAAAACAACTTTCTGACAAAATTAGAAATGTATATCTGAAAATCTAACTAGACTCTTACCCGTATACATGGATGAACGTTTCACGGCAGACTGGAACCATTTAACTCAGTTTTGTTTGTAGCTACATCTTGTTTGGCCAGCGTTGTGTCAAGTCACTCTGGTTCACACTGACCGTGGCGTGTGCAGAAAGTAGCCCATCACTTTTTCCAACTGATCTGTCGATAGCGTCTGCTAAATTCAGGGCATCAATGTTGGTGAGAAAAGTAGCAAAACTTTTGTAGTTCTCGATGGCTAATGTTATATCTTTCAAAAACGGCGCGGTAGAAAGGACTATCAACACATATTGAACAGCTCACGTTACAGACAGAAGCATGCTACATGGCAGACCAATCCAAGCTCATCTCCCGGCATGTCCAGCCCATCTATTATCTCAGCCAAATATGGCTAGTGGGAAGGTTCCTGTCTTTTTCCATGGCTAAACCAACTAGGCTCGTAATTTAACCATTTTATTTGTATTTATGGATGGAATACAAGTTTGTTATTAAGGCACATGAAAGTTCACATATTCCAGAAAGCATTTCTGCCAAAAAAAACGCATTTTGATAAAAAATGTATGTTTACATTCAAATGCCTCTCCTGTGAAGTAGTGACTTGCGACATACGTCTAGTTTCCTGAAACAAGTCACAAATTATTAAAATGTATGCTCACTCAGCTGTGCCTCACAAGTAATACAACAACTGATCTATTACCGGTGTGATTATATATATATATATATATATATATATATATATATATTTTTTTTTTTTTTTTTTTTTTTTTTTTTATGGTCTGAGAAGAACAACAGGAAGAACAACAAGAATAACAATTCAAGAAAAACCAATATGTGGTGATAATGTTTTGGGCCTATAGCCTACTGCACTAACCTCATTATTACAGTACTGTTTTGTGCATAGGCTTATGTTTTTTAAGTCATGTAGAAAAGTTTTTTTAAGGTAGATCTCGGCTTGCATTTTGACTCAGAATGTGATCTCGACTCAAAAAAGGTTAGTGACCACTGCTTTAGAGTAATTGCACAGTTGGAACCCGGATATAAATCAAATAAATGATTTGTCTCCCCTGGTCCCTCTCCCCTCCCTCTCTCGCTCTCCACAGGTACCCTATCCAGTCACCCAGGCCGGGTTGCTATGGCGACAGGGAGGATTCACCTGGAGTGCGCAACTACGGCAATCGGGCCCCTGACGAGCTGTTTGATGTCTACTGTTTTGCCAAGCAACTGCAAGGTACAGTAGGAGGGAGGCGTCAATCAGATTTTAGTCATGCAGGAGCTACGATGCTGGATCAGCCTGACTTAGGCTTAATGCTCCTGTTAGGCAGAGAAAGATATCCACGTCCCAGGCAACCTGCTGTCCTACTGTTTCAACTTTAAATGGGTCACTATCATTTAAGCCAGTGGTTTCCAACCTTTTTTGGTTACTGTACCACCAACTGAATTTAGCTCTGCCCGGAGTACCTCTGAAGTACCCTCATGTGCATTTTACCAGTAGGCCTATGGCCTCATGAGTCTTCTCAAGTACCCCCTGTGGATAGGCCAAGTACACCCAGGGGTCCAAGTACCCCTGGTTGGGAACCACTTATTTAAGCTGTAGCTGGGTGGTGAGTTATACTGCCGTGGCCAGGATCAGGGAAGCTGCTACAGGAGGATGGAGTCATATTCACACCAGGTGCCTTTAAAATACATCTGGGTAATTTGTTACTGTGCAGAGCCAGACCTGTCAGTTAATAGTTCTACAGGAAGTAGATGAGGTAATTTTATGAGAAGTGTAATTCTTGACACCCCAGTAATTTGCAAGGTGTCAAGAATTACACTATCTAGCTGGATAGGATGGATGTTCATTGTTGGGTTCTATGGTTCTGTGTATTCTTCTGTGAAATGACTCTGCACGACTCATGGGTCATTGCTTCGCTGACCTCCTGTTCAATCTTGTCTGTTGACACTTCTTATATTACATTTCACACCACTCTATCCATCTCCTACTTCATTCTCATCATATCCCCCTATCCTCCCCCGTTACTCCATACCACTTCACCTCCCATACCTATCTCTCCTTCCCCTCACACTATACACTCATTATACCACCGATCTCTCCATCTCCATCCCCCTCTCCCAGGTGAGGTGTTCCACTCATCTGTACCAGAGAAGCTGAGCCTGGCCACAGCCTCTACCCACTGCCACTCTCTGGGAGCCCAGCTGGCCACGGCAGGGCAGCTCTACCAAGCCTGGCAGACTGGCTTGGACCAGTGTGATCCGGGCTGGCTGGCCGATGGCAGCGTGCGCTACCCCATAAACCTTCCCCGACGCAACTGTGGCGGGGATGATCCGGGGGTGCGCACTGTCTACCACAACCCCAACCGCACCGGTTTCCCAGACACCACCACCCGCTTCGACGCATACTGCTACCGAGGTAACGGCCGGGGTCGCCATCGCCATGGCAACCTTACTGTTTAATTTCCGTTAATTAGTGCAGGTTGTTTGTCTCATGCATGAATTAATGAATTATCACAGAGGGGATTCGGTGACATTTTGGTCTTCTACTGTAGCAACCAGCTATAGCCCAATATCAGCATTTCCAAGCTCTCAATACAGACTTAGAGAGACCCAACATAGTTATGTACACTGGCTGCAGCCTCAATGTCCTTGCAGTGTCATTCTAAAGTGTTTATAATGTTTTTGGACCGCTGGAGATTTGTCTAACTTAGTTTCAAGTTCACTTTGGAATGACTGTAGGCTCCAGTGTGCTGTGTGCTTCGGATTTGATTGTGTTTGTGCAGAGTGTGATCTGCATTAGACTGCATTAGCTCCTCAGAGTGTCATGAAGAATGATTGACAGGCACTAAATTGATACAGACGTAATTAAGTCTTATCTTAGACTTTGCCCTTAAGTAAAGTCACCCAAGGAGAGTGTAAAAACATCTCTTAATATAATATGTATGCTTTCTTAATTAAAGCAAAACCAAAAACAGAGGTCATCAACATCTAAGAATGTGGATGATTCACAGCTTATTGAAAAAATGGCAGCTTATTGTAAATATTAATATTTAAAAGCCATGCCTTATTGCCAGGAAAGCAAATAGGAATGCTAATAGTCTTCATATAATTCCAGAACGTGAAGCAGGATTCCAGGCAGCCCAGCCAATGGGGTTCCTCCAATACAGAGACCCAGAGGCCAACTCCTCAGACACTGAGCCCCAGCGCTCTGTCCCCTACCCCCAGCCCTCCACCTGGACTGGCACAGTGGACCTGGACAAGGAGGGCATCAGCTCCATCGCTGGAGGCAACGAGTCCTCCGAGATCTCTGAGGAGCACGTGGTGATCCACCTCCGGCCAGGGGAGAGTACCCAGGGCTGGGGAGAGGAGAACCAGGAGACCAAGGGCCGATCCAAGACTGGAGCCCCTCAGGACCCATCCTCCAGCCCCAAGACCAGCACCTTGGGTCTGTCTGTCCTGGAGAGTCTGGAGACCCACGGAGGTTCTGCACAGGAGGAGGTGGAGGGTGAGGGTGAGGGGGACGAGGAGTGGCGTTTCATGTCGTCCAACTCCCCTCTGTCCTCCCAGGCCTCTCCAACGCTCCAGGCCCAGACAGCCAATAGCGTTCTCCACAGCTTCGTCAACAACCTGATGAAGCCCTTCAGGTATTGGACAGGCTCTGTGGAGGACGGCACGGAGGCCCCTCTCCCAGCCACACCTGCCTCACTGCCCGAGGGTAGAGGAGTAGAGGAGGACCAGACAACCCCGGGGTCGGCTATGGTCACACCCACCAAAGGGAAGCCTAAGCTGGGCAGCAAAGGAAGCACAGACAACACTATCATAGAGCATCGGAGCGGAGGCTCCTTGTTCAAGACATCCACCAATGGGCTCACCAGCACTGAGGAGGGTCTGTCTGAGCAGGATAGAGAGGTGGTCACTTTAGTCCCATTGGGCCCTGTGATCCAGTACACACTCACCCAGCCTGGGAGGAAAGGTCCAAGCACGTTCCTAACCAACCCTCAAGGATCATCGTCTAATGGTAAGACCCACTGGCTGAGTCACAATCCATCCATCAGAGAGGCTATGTGGGTTGGCTGAGTACATTGTGTCTTCTTTTAGTGTAGTTCATTACCTTTTCTCTCTAAAAGTTGTTTTCTTTTTGCGTTCCTATTTGCTCCACCTCAGTGTTTCTTCCAAATCAATGGCTTGTGTTAAATTGAAAATGCGCTGTTTACGAAGGTAGTAAATTGAAAAGGTTGGTTTCTGTGGATGCCAGCTCAGGTCCTTTATTGCTTCCGCGGTAAATAAAGTGAAGGTTTGTTTCAGACTATTAAACACTGTCTCTGGACAATATTTATGGGAGAAACATTCAGCCACTCTATGGAGGGCAATGGACGTAGAGTAGAAGAAAATAAACATTACATTTGGCATTACAGCCTTCCTCTGGTATCTCTGTGTCGCAAATGGTATAATTTCCACAGTATCAGAACACCACTCATCACTTTCCTTCTTTGGTTTTCCTAAGGAGAAATTATGTTAAATGTATATGCACTTTGGGTGTCTATTCAAATCAAATCAAATACATTTGTATTTGTCACATATGCTTACTTACGAGTCCTTCCCAACGATGCAGAGTTAAAAAATAAGAAAAATAAAAATAGTAACACAAGGAATAAAATACACAAGAATGAAGCTATAAACAGGGAGTACCAGTACCAAATCAAAATCAATTCAAATCAATGTTATTTGTCACATGCTTCATAAACAACAGTTGTAGACTAACAGTGAAATGCTTACTTTGCCAACAAAGAGTTAAAGATAAAGAATATAAATAAAAAATATAAATAGTGACAAGAGGAATAAATACACAGTGGATAACGAATAACAATAATGAGTAAAAATAACATGGCTATATAGAGTGAGTACCAGTACTGAGTCGATGTGCAGGGGTAAGAAGTATTTGAGGTAGATATGTACATAAAGGCAGGGTAAAGAGACTAGGCATCAGGATAGAAAATAATACGAGTAAAATAAAGAACAGAGTAGCATCAGCATATGAAGAGTGTGAAAGTCTGTGTACGTGTGTGTGTGTGTGTGTGTGTATGTGTGTGTGTGTTATGTATGTGTAGGTGTGTATACGTGTGGGTTTGTGTGAGAGTGTCAGTGTAGTGTGTGTAAGTGAATGTATATATAGTCTTGTGAGTGTGCATAGAGTCAGTGCAAGATACACACTTAGAAAAATGGTTCCAAAAGGGTTTTTCAGTTGTCCCCATAGGAGAACCCTTTTGGTTCCAGGTAGAACTCTTTTGGATTCCATGTAGAACCCTCTGTGGGAAGGATTCTACATGGAACTCAAAAGGGTTCTACCTGGAACCAAAAAGGGTTCTTTAAAGGGTTCTCCTATGGGGACAACCGAAGAACCCTTTTAGGTTCTAGATACACTACATGACCAAAAGTATGTGGACACCTGCTTGTCGAACATTTCATTCCATGGACATTAATATGGAGTTGGTCCCCCCTTCGCGGCTATAACAGCCTCCACTAATCTGGGAAGGCTTTCCACTAGATGTTGGAACATTGCTGCAGGGACTTGTTTCCATTCAGCCACAATCAAGTTCTTCCACACCAATCTCGACAAACCATTTCTGTATGGACTTCGCTTTGTGCACGGGGGCATTGTCATGCTGAAACAGGAAAGGGCCTTCCCCAAACGGTTGCCACAAAGTTGGAAGCACAGAATCATCTAGAATGTTATTGTATGCTGTAGTGTTAAGATTTCCCTTCACTGGAACTAAGGGGCCTAGCCCGAACTATGAAAAACAGCCCCAGACCATTTTTCCTCCTCCACCAAACTTTACAGTAAGCACTATGCATTGGGGCAGGTATCATTCTCCTGGTATCTGCCAAACCCAGATTAGTCCATCAGACTGCCAGATGGTGACGCGTGATTCATCACTCCAGAGAATGCGTTTCCACTGCTCCAGAGTCCATTCTCGGCGAGCTTTACACCACTCCAGCCGACGCTTGACATTGTGCATGGTTATCTTAGGCTAGTGTGCGGCTGCTCAGCCATGTAAACCTATTTCCTGAAGCTCCCGACGAACAGTTATCGTGCTGACATTGCTTCCAGAGGCAGTTTGGAACTTGGTAGTGAGTGTTGCAACCGAGGACAGACTGTTTTAATGCGCTACGTGCTTCAGCACTCGGCGGTCCCATTCTGTGAGCTTGTTTGGACTACCACTTCGCGGCTGAGCCGTTGTTGCTCCTAGACGTTTCCATTTCACAATAACAGCACTTACAGTTTACTGGGGAAGCTATAGCAGGGCAGAAATGTCAAGAACTGACCTGTTGGAAAGGTGGCATCCTATGATGGTGCCACGTTGAAAGTCACTGAGCTCTTCAGTAAGGCCATTCTACTGCCAATGTTTGTCTATGGAGATTGCATGGCTGTGTTCTCGGTGTTATACACCTGTCAGCAACCGGTGTGGCTGAAATAAACAAATCCACTAATTTGTCCACATATGTTTGTATTGCATTCAGAAAGTATTCAGACCCTTTCCCTTTATCCATATTTTGTTACATTACATCCTTATTCTAAAATGTTTTAAATAATTTTAATTCTAAAATGTATTAAATAATTTTTCAATACCCCATAATGACAAAGCGAAAACCTTTTAAAAAAATGTTTTTATTGCAATATTTTTTTGTTTTTTTGAAATACCTTATTTACATAAGTATTCAGAACCTTTGCTATGAGACTCGAAATTGAGCTCAGGTACATCCTGTTTCCAATGATCATCCTTGAGATGTTTCTACAACCTGTGGTAAATGTAATTGTTTGGCCATGATTTGGAAAGGCACACACCTGTCTATATAAGGTACCACAGTTGACAACGCATGTCAGAGCAAAAACCAAGCAATAAGGTCGAAGGAATTGTCCGTAGAGCTCTGAGACAGGATTGTGTCGAGGCACAGATCTGGGGAAGGGTACCAAAACATTTCTGCAGCATTGAAGGTCCCCAAGAACACAGTAGCCTCCATCATTCTTAAATGGAAGAAGTTTGGAACCACCAAGACTCTTCCTAGAGCTGGCCACCCGGCCAAACTGAGCAATCGGGGGAGAAGGGCCTTGGTCAGGGAGGTGACCAAAACCCGATGGTCACTCTAACAGAGCTCCAGAGTTCATCTCTGCAGCATTCCACCAACCAGGCCTTTATGGTAGAGTGACCAGATAGAAACCACTTCTCAGTAAAAGGCACATGACAGCCTGCTTGGAGTTTGCCAAAAGGCACCTAAAGGACTCTCAGACCAGAGAAACAAGATTATCTGGTCTGATGAATCCAAGATTGAACTCTTTGGCCGGACTGACAAGCGTCACGTCTGGAGGAAACCTGGCACCATCCCTACAGTGAAGCGGCAGGGACTGGGAGAACAAAGTACAGAGATCCTTGATGAAAACCTGCTCAAGAGCGCTCAGGACCTCAGACTGGGGCAAAGGTTCACCTTCCAACAGGACAACGACCCTAAGCACACAGCCAAGACAACGCAGGAGTGGCTTCAGGACAAGTCTCTGAATGTCGAGTGGCCCAGCCAGAGCCCGGACTTGAACCCGATCGCACATCTCTGGAGAGACCTGAAAATAGCTGTGCAGCAACGCTCCCCATCCAACCTGACAGAGCCTGAGAGGATCTGCAGAGAAGAATGGGAGAAATTCCCCAAATATAGGTGTGCCAAGCGTGTAGCGTCATATCCAAGAAGACTCGAGGCTGTAATCGCTGTCAAAGGTGCTTCAACAAAGTACTGAGTAAAGGTTCTGAATACTCATGTAAATGTGATATTTCAGTTTTTTTTGTTGTTGAAATTAGCAAACATTTCTAAAAACCTGTTTTTGCTTTGTCATTATGGGTTATTGTGTGTAGATTGAGGGGGGGAAAAAACAATTTAATCTATTTTAGAATAAGGCTGTAAGGTAAGAAAATGCGGAAAAAGTCAATACTGAATACTTTCCCGAATGCACTGCATAGTGTAGCACCTTTTTTTCTAAGAGTGTGTATATTGTCAATGCAGATAGTCTGGGTAACCATTTGATTGGTTATTTAGCAGCTTTATGGCTTGGGGGTAGAAGCTGTCTTGGGGGTAGAAGCTGTCTCAGAGCCTGTTGGTCCGAGAACCGATGCTCCAGTGCCGTTTGCCGGGCGGTAGCAGAGTGAACAGTCTATGGCTTGGGTGGCTGAAGTCTTTGGCAACTTTTCGGGCCTTCTTCTGGATGGAAGAGAGCTCTGCCCCAGTGATGTACTGGGCCGTCCGCACCACCCTATGTAGCACTTTGCGACCGAGGGCGATGCAGATGCCATACCAAGTTGTGATGCAGCCAGTCATGATCCCCGCAATGGTGCAGCTGTAGAACCTTTTGAGGATTTCAGGGCCCATGCCAAATCTTTTCAGGCTCCTGAGGGGGAAGAAGCTCTGTCTGGCCCTCCACAACTGTGCGGGTGTGTGTGGATCTTAGTGATGTGGACGCCAAGGAACTCTCGACCCGCTCCACTACAGCCCCGTCGATCTGGATTGGGGCGTGCTCTCCCCTGTAGTCCACAACCAGCTCCTTGGTCTTGCTGATGCTGAGGGAGAGGTTGATGTCCTGGCACCACACTGCCAGGTCTCTGACCTCCTCCCTGTAGTAGGCTGTCTCATCGCAGTTGGTGTTCAGGCCTACCACCATTGTGTCTTCAGCAAACTTTATGATGGTGTTGCAGTCATGCTTGGCCATGCAGTCGTGGGTGAACAGGGATTACAGGCGGGGACTAAGCACACACCCCTGAGGGGCCCCCAGGTTGAGGGTCAGCGTGGCGGAGGTGTTGTTGCCTACCCTCACCACCTGGGGCTGGCCCATCAGGAAGTCCAGGATCCAGTTGCAGAGGGAAGTGTTCAGTCCAAAGGTCCTGAGCTTGGTGATGCGCTTGGAGGGGATGATGGTGTTTTAGTCTATGAACAGCATTCTGACATAGTTATTTCCCCTTTTGTCCAGATGGGAGAGAACAGTGAGAAATGCAATTGAGTTTCCGTTATCTGTGGATCTGTCGGGCGGTATGCAAATTGGAGTGGGTCCAGGGTGTCTTGAATGATGGTGTTGATGTGTGTTATGACCAGCCTTTCAAAGCGCTTCATAATTACAGATGTAAATGCTGACGATAGTAATTATGCCAGCAGCATACCACCCTGCATCCCACTGCTGGCGTGCCTCTGAAGCTAAGCAGGATTGGTCCTGGATGGGAGACCAGATGTTGCTGGAAGTAGTGTTTGTGGGCCAGTAGGGGGCACTCTTTCCTTTGGTAAAAAAAAAGATCCCAATGCCCTGAAGCAGTAATTGGGGACATTGCCCTGTGTAGGGTGCTGTCTTTCGGCTGGGACGTTAAACGGGTGTCCTGACTCTCTCTGATCACTAAAGATCCCATGGCACTTATGGTAAGATTAGGGGTGTTGACCCCAGTGTCCAGGCTAAATTCCTCATACCATCATGGCCACCTAATCATCCCTAGCTTCCAATTGGCTCATTCCTCTCCCCTGTAACTATTCCCCAGGTCGTTGCTGTAAATGAGAATGTGTTCTCAGTCAACTTACCTGGTAATATAAGGGTTAAATAAATCAAAGCAATTTAGGCAGGTTATCTTGGATTTCTGGGTAACGGTGGTTGTCAGCTTGAAACATGTTGGGATTACACACTGGGAATGAAGAGATTGAAAATGTCTGTGAAGCCCGGTGGTCTTGCGAGTGTTAACCTCTTTAAAAGTGTTACTCACATTGGCCACGGAGAGCGATCTGACACGGTCATCCAAAACAACAGGGTTTTTGGTTTGGATTCGTTCATATGGTCACTGTGGGAACGACATTATTTATGCACTTATTGATGAAGCCTGTGACTGATGTGGTAAACTTCTCAATGCTACCGGATGAATCCTGGAACATATCTCAGTCTGTACTAGCAAAACAGTCTTATAGCCTCACGTCTGCTTCATCGGACCACTTCCTGTTTGAGCTTTTGTTTGAAAACAGGAAGCACTGGTACTTCCTGTTTGAACTTTTGTTTGTAAACAGGAAACAAGAGGATAGAGTCGTGGTCTGAGCTCATCCATCTTATTCTCGAGTGATTGGACATTTGCCAATAAGACGGAGGGGAGTGTCGGTCAGTTTTCTCTTCGCCTGTGGTGTTTTGGTAGCTCATGAAACAAAGGAATAAGGTCCGGTGTGAACAAGGGAACAGCTGAGTTGGAGTTGAAGTAGGAGTTGAAGTCAAAAGCTAGGTTAGTAACTGTTGATCTGATTTCCAAAAGTGCTTGGCGGTCATATGTAATAATAGTATGAACTTTCTGTACAAAAAAGTCAAGATAAAAAAAAGTCACTAAATAGCAAAGTCGGGTTGGAGCTCGTAAGATGTCGACCTTCTCCGTCGGCGCCATCTTTCATCTTAGGTCCAGAGCCATCACTAAGCCAGCTTCCAGCAGAAGTGAGAAACGCAGTGCAAAGAGGGAAATGAAAGCAGAGAGCGAGGCCGGCCAAAGCAAAAACTCAGAAAGCCAGAGTCAGTGCTGCAGCGATGTGTTTGGCTCAGCGGTGTGAATATATAGAACTAATTTGATCTGTGTGTGTGTGCGTTTGTGTGTGTGTGCATCAGTGACTGTGTGTGAGCATGCGTGCGTGTGTGTCTCTGTGTATTATGTCTACATGAGTGCGTGTGTATGTGTGTTCATGTCTACTTCTGTGTCTGTGGCTCAAGGATTTTGAGCTAGCATCCAAACCCCAGGTAATTCTCCACAGAGCTGAGCTAAGCGTGTGAGTCTTAAAGGTCACCTTATTGGGCTATTCTCCGCATGAAAGTCCTGCGACTTCAAACCACAATCAAGTCCTGGGATTCCTCTCCTGTTCGAAGGAGGGACAATGTTTCATCTTACGGCCACCACTTACACAGCTATACACAGCCACCAGAGCTAACTGGAGAATAGAGAGGAAAAGCTAAAGTCTCGCACAGAGGTGTTTCAATCGGTTCAATGACGGAAGGGCTCCTTCTATGGCCCGGGCTTCATTAGATACAAATACTGTTGCTATCCTCCCTGAAACCGAAACTCCAAACTCAAGGCATTAATGTTTTATGCTGGGTGAAAATCTAGCTTTAATCTGCGTACATTATTCTCAGCCTCTTTCCAATTAATGCAGGCTGACTAGGTGCTCCTCGCCTTGCTCTCCGCCATTCACGTCTCCCCCAATTACGACGGCCCTGGGTGAGCGTAGGCGGTCATTATCACCATGGCGATGATGAGCGGATGGAAAACACGAAGGATGAAAAAGAAGAGAGGAGGAGAGAGGAGGATGCATCAGGAAGGGGCTTTTTTTACAGGAAGTTGTTGAATTAATGTTTCCTCTTAAAGTGGCATCACTCGACAGATATAAACTATGTTATCGAGTGCCGCAGGCTGTTGCTTGCACTTGGTAATCTACATTATCAATGCTGCCATTTTAATTTTTATGATTGGCAGGAAGCTACGGTGGAGAACCGTGAAGAAGCACGTCTCGAGCAAAGTGTCAGGAAAAACATTGCTTGTGAATCTTGACACCTCGATCAAAGAAAGGCATGTTTCCCCATTTCCCCACACAGTCTTAGCAAAGCATCGTGGGAATAAATCTTTGTGATAAAACATCACGCTCCTACACTGACACTCCAGATAGACATGATTCACACACCACACAATAACTTTTCCCAGTCGTCTTTATTAGACGGCATATCTTACAACAGTATAGTGCTGAGAATGTGTGTGTGTGTGTGTTAGCGCGTGTGAGTGTGTGTGTGTTTGTTAGATGCCGTATCTTACAACAAAAGTGCTGAGTCTGCACGAGTACACTGTGTCCTGGGGAAGGCTTCAACTCCTATCCCATTATGATGTGTAACTGGAGGGTTCGACTCTGCTTGTTTACCCCAGAAAGAGACAGATATACAGCTGATTTACAGCACCGCTGTCACTGAAAACACACAATGGAGCACATCATTGACTTGCCTTGATTTAGTCATTTGTGGGCAGTTTATCACAGTATGACAACGTTTGTTTTGCAGGATTTTTATGTGTTGACCTTAAGCCAAAAATCACAACAATAGCAGTGAAATATGCCCATCGAAATACTAGGCTTAGCATGAAATATTCATATTTTTAATATCAGCCATTGGAATAGATCATTAGACTTGATTAATTAATTTAATCACTCAATATCTCATCACTATGTGAAGGAAAAGTGGTTAATTAGCTATTCACATTATTAATTGGACAATTACACCATCTACAGCTCTTATGTAAATGAACCCGTGCTCACATAGCACATAGGGGGTGATGGCAACATGTAGATCCCTCAATAATTTAGTATTGATTTAATATTTCATTTGTGGACATACAGTATTTGTCTATGTTTCTCCCCACAGTAATTAGTGTTGTATTATGTAATACAGCCAGAGGCACTGCTGTGGTTCTTTGCACACCAGAGAGTTAGCTGAGCTTTGCTGTGTTGAGCTACAGTAGGCTTAGAAGCAGTGGGCCGGGGAACTCTAGCAGCCTAATATGGTAATACTATGAGAAGATTCACTGCTAAAAACCAACCCACACATCTAGTCTGAATTATTAATTGTGTAGATACAGTATGGTTTAGTACATTACCTAGAAGCACAGGAGGCTGGTGAGAGAAGGACGGCTCATAATAATGGCTGGGATGGAGTGAATTAAATGGTATCAAACTCATGGAAACTACATGTTTGATACTATTCCATTAATTCCGTTCCAGCAATCACAATGAGCCTGTCCTCCCCAATTAAGGTACCACCAGCCTGTGCTAGAAGGAGCATAGCGGTGCACTTAATCTGAGTAAGCAATGGTGTAGATATGCAGTAGTTTAGTACCGTAAGTCAATGATGGATGGTGTTTTAAAAAATAGTTTTTAATGTGTTTACACTTGGTCAGTTTTAGCCCAGGGATTGGTTGACTGTAGCTTGGTGTGGGGTCTAGGAGAGTTTCTATGGAATGAGAAAAGGGACAGAGAATGGAAATTGCCTTACAAGATCCTTTTCCTTTGTGTGTGCTGGGTCTGATACACAGTGTGGGTCTGCTACTGTGCTTTGTACTGGAATACAAACAGCTGCACCATTATTGGAATGACGATGGGAATACAAATGAATAAATATTTTAGCAGATTTAGCAAAAAATACATAAATACAATTGTTGCCGTAAATGAGGGTTCGCCTCCAGCATACAAATAAATAACCAGCCTTCCTGCGGAGCAACACAACAACCAATCACCATTTAAAGTCTTACTTACACTCCATTCCTATTTGCATATTAAACCCTGTAAAATATGTCTTACATCTGGGTATAGATACAGTATCAGAATGGATAAATAAAATAAAAAGGCATACATAATAAAACGATCGATTTAAATTCATTAAATACAATGACTGCTGCACTGGAGGCAGTGTTTTATGATTGCTAATTCAACACGCATTTAATTACAATCATTAAAACAATTTCCCTCCCATGCTATGTTAATGAATGAGTGTTGTCCCTCTGCAGGATTCACAGCAGTGGGGCCCGATGGGAGTAGCAAGACCGTGGAGGCTGTGAATGGATCTGGAGGCCCCCTCCAGGGCACCAGGGGTGGGTTGGCTTCATCCCAAGGGTCCCCGGCACCATCCCCAGGCAGTCAGCTGAAATGGGCCCTCAAGGCCATGAAGGGCTCCAAGCTGGAGGACCCGGGACAGGGACATTTGGCCTATGTGGGGAAGGATTCCACCTGGGAGCCTGTGGAGGCCAAAGCGGGGCCCCTAGAGGTCATGACCCTGTCTACCAACACAGAGAGCTACTCTGGTGAGGGGAGAGATCAGGATGAGGACCGCAGCATCCCTCGATCCATCCTGGAGAGAGAGGACAAAGAGACAGAGGCGGAGGGAAGCGGGAGAGCAGGGAACGACTTTCCAGGTGGCTTTGTATCGAACGGTGACACGAACCCAGCCAGCGGTGCCAACAGAAGTACAAAGCCTTCTCTGTCTGGATTGAAACCCACCCAGACCCAGAGCCAGAACCAGACTGTGGCGGAACACACCACTATCTCTAAGTGGCAGCTAGGGGACCAGCCCACCACCTCACCTACTGCTGCCTCTGCTGCTGGCACCAGCCAGGGCCTAGGGGAAACCGCTGAGGAGGCCAGGGGAGAGATTGTCTATGTCCGACACACCACTGAGAAACTCCTTCCAACCACCTCCAGTAAGAAAGTTGGCTTCCCCCCTGTGATCAGAAAGCAGAGCCTGAACACAGCCAGGGTGACTGAGAGACAACGAAGACCAAATGAAGCCACCACACCTGGGGTCAGCTCCAGACCTGCAGCCCCTATGGAGCCCCTGACAACCATCAAAACCTCCACAGCAGACACCCAGAGTACAGACTCCAGTGATTCTACCAAGGAGCCACCCATCTCCATTGCATGGGTTCCAGTAGAGAGAGAGAAGACAGCTAGTACCACATCTTTGACCAGAGATGGATCACAAACATCTGCAGCTTCGACTCAGCTGACCACAGCGGTGTCCGTTCTGAAGGGCAGGGACCATGAGGCAGAGTCCAGGTTAGCCGTTTCAGAATCGTTCGTGGTGGGAAAAGGGTGGAAGCCGTTGGGAGGGATGATCCCTAAATCTAAGGAGGACAAAACCCCATTGACCACAGAGAAGACAGAGAAGACAGAGAAGACCACCTTTGGTGTCGTTGTGCCCAACTGGGGCTTTGGCCTCAACCCTTCAGGTATCTTCCCTATTCTCTATTATCGTCACCATTATTAGCCTTTATCTAATCCTACTGTGTAATCATATAATCCATTACTCATCTAAACCAGTGTTACATATCATCCATAACATGCTGCTAATCCATAGGAGGGGAGCTGAGGACCCACGCTCAATTTAATTAATGATGTTGCAGATGCTCTTTGTCTGTCTGTCTGTCTGTCTGTCTGTCTGTCTGTCTGTCTGTCTGTCTGTCTGTCTGTCTGTCTGTCTGTCTGTCTGTCTGTCTGTCTGTCTGTCTGTCTGTCTGTCTGTCTGTCTGTCTGTCTGTCTTTTTTTTCTGTCTGTCTGTTCTGTCCTCTCTCTCTCTCTCACGCTCAAATTCTCAACTCCTCTTTCTCCTCTTAATCTCTCTCTCTCTCGCTCTCTCTCTCTCTCTCTCCTCCTCTCTCGCTCTCTCTCTCTCTCTCTACATCTCTCTCTCTCTCTCGCTCTCTCTCTCTCTCTTGCTCTCTCTCCCTTGTGCTCTCGCTCTCTTCCCGTCTCTCTCGCTCTTGCTCTCTCTCTCTCTCTTGCTCTCTCTCTCTCTCTTGCTCTCTCTCCCTTGCTCTCTCTCCCTCGCTTTCTCTCTCTCTATACACTGATTATACCAAACATTAGGAACATCTTCCTAATATTGAGTTGTACCCCCCCTTTTGCCCTCAGAACAGCCTCAATTCGTCGGGGCATGGACTCTACAAGGGTTCGAAAGCGTTCCACAGGGATGCTGGCCCATGTTGACTCCAATGCTTCCCTCAGTTGTGTGAAGTTGGCTGGATGTCCTTTGGATGGTGGACCATTCTTGATACACACGGGAAACTGTTGAGTGTGAAAAATACAGCAGTGTTGCAGTTCTTGACACAAACTGGTGCGCCTGGCACCTACTACCATACTCTATTTATTTTTATTTAACCTTTATTTAACCAGGTAAGCCAGTTGAGAACAAGTTCTCATTTACAACTGCGACCTGGCCAAGATAAAGCAAAGCAGTGCGATAAAAACAACAACACAGAGTTACATATGGGGTAAACAAAACATAAAGTCAAAAAATACAACAGAAAATATATATACAGTGTGTGCGAATGTAGTAAGTTATGGAGGTAAGGCAATAAATAGGCCATAGTGCAAAATAGTTACAATTTCGTATTAACACTGGAATGATAGATGTGCAAAAGATGATGTGCAAATAGAGATACCGGGGTGCAAATGAGCAAAATAAATAACAATATGGGGATGAGGTAGCTGGGTGGGCTAATTTCAGAAAGGCTGTGTACAGGTGCAGTGATCGGTAAGCTGCTCTGACAACTGACGCTTAAAGTTAGTGAGGGAGATAAGAGTCTCCAGCTTCAGAGATTTTTGCAGTTCGTTCCAGTCATTGGCAGCAGAGAATTGGAAGGAATGGCGGCCAAAGGAGGTGTTGGCTTTGGGGATGACCAGTGAGATATACCTGCTGGAGCGCAGACTACGGGTGGGTGTTGCTATGGTGACCAGTGAGCTAAGATAAGACTGGGATTTGCCTAGCAGTGATTTATAGATGACCTGGAGCCAGTGGGTTTGGCGACGAATATGTAGTGAGGGCCAGCCAACAAGAGCGTACAGGTCACAATGGTGGGTAGTATATGGGGCTTTGGTGACAAAACGGATGGCACTGTGATAGACTACATCCAATTTGCTGAGTAGAGTGTTGGAGGCTATTTTGTAAATGACATCGCCGAAGTCAAGGATCGGTAGGATAGTCAGTTTTACGATGGCATGTTTGGCAGCATGAGTGAAGGAGGCTTTGTTGCGAAATAGGAAGCCAATTCTAGATTTAACTTTGGATTGGAGATGCTTAATGTGAGTCTGGAAGGAGAGTTTACAGTCTAACCAGACACCTAGGTATTTGTAGTTGTCCACATACTCTAGGTCAGACCCCCCGAGAGTAGTGATTCTAGTCGGTTGGGCGGGTGCAAGCAGCGTTCGGTTGAAGAGCATGCATTTAGTTTTACTAGTGTTTAAGAGCAGTTGGAGGCTACGGAAGGAGTGTTGTATGGCGTTGAAGCTCGTTTGGAAACTCAGTGTCCAATGAAGAGCCAGATGTATACAAAATGGTGTCGTCCGCATAGAGGTGGATCCGAGCGTCACCAGCAGCAAGAGCGACATCATTGATATACACAGAGAATAGAGTCGGCCCGAGAATTGAACCCTGTGGCACCCCCATAGAGACGGCCAGAGGTCCAGACAACAGGCCCTCCGATTTGACACATTGAACTCTATCTGAGAAGTAGTTGGTGAACCAGGCGAGGCAGTCATTAGAGAAACCAAGGCTATTTAGTCTGCCAATAAGAATGCAGTGGTTGACAGAGTCGAAAGCCTTGGCCAGGTCGATGAAGACGGCTGCGCAGTACTGTCTTTTATCGATCGCGGTTATATAATATCGTTTAGGACCTTGAGCGTGGCTGAGGTGCACCCATGACCAGCTCGGAAACCGGATTGCATAGCGGAGAAGGTACGGTGTGATTCGAAATGGTCGGTGATCTGTTTGTTAACTTGGCTTTCAAATACTTTTGAAAGGCAGGGCAGGATGGATATAGGTCTATTACAGTTTGGATCTAGAGTGTCACCCCCTTTGAAGAGGGGGATGACCGCGGCAGCTTTCCAATCTATGGGGATCTCAGACGTTACGAAAGAGAGGTTGAACAGGCTAGTAATAGGGGTTGCGACAATTTCGGTGGCTAATTTTAGAAGGAAAGGGTCCAGATTAAAAGGCACTTAAATATTTTGTCTTGCCCATTCACCTTCTGAATGGCACACACACACAATCCACGTCTCAGTTGTCTCAAGTCTTAAACATCCTTCTTTAACCTGTCTCCTCCCCTTCATCTACACTGATTGAAGTGGATTTAACAAGTGACATCAATAAGGTATCCTAGCTTTCACCTGGATTCACCTGGTCAGTTTATGTCATGGAAAGAGCAGGTGTTCTTAATGTTTTATACACTTAGTGTATATTCCTCTCCACAGTCTTCCTCTCCATTGGACCTCAGAGAGTGCTGCTGTAAACAAAGAGGGGCTGTGAACAAGTTGAATGGAAGCAGCCTTAGTGTTATAATTAGAGGCTCTGGGTTAGTAAGACAGGCTGTGAGAGGCTGAGTTCTTAGACCCCGGCAAATCAATGTTGATGGAAGCTAGAAGATGCGAGCTGTAATTTACTCTCTCGCCCCCTGTGTCTCGCAGAGCGAAGCCCTTCGTCCAAGTTCAGAATGATACAGCATGTGTAGAGACTCAAGTTGCTCGGCCTCTCTCACTTCTTCACATTGATTCACCCTGATGGGAATGGGTTTTAAGCCTCACCCATTAATATTTTACTCTGCAGTGAAGGCAGGAAGGGAAGATAACATCCTTCGTTGAGGAGTTTTGTCTCTTGGCCTCGTTTGAAATCCACACTGTAGGGCTGACTCCCTGCTTAGAATGTTCTAGTGAAATATTTAGTGCCTATTTCAGTGGAAAGTTAACGTCTGGTAAAGGAACACTAATGTCCCATGTAGAATATATGACTATGAACTAATGATGCAATGCTGACATCTAGTAGCTAAATACCTTGGAATATCTCAAACATCCTTTATCACAGCTGTATGTACTCCTTCGTGTTCTAAATCCAAACACATCCAGAAGGCATTGTTTGCCTCTCTTAATAATTATCTTTAATCAATGGTCAGCTATTGCAGTAACACAGTCCCCAGAACCCAACAACACAGCCCAGATCTGTCCCCTCTCTCTCTCTCTCTCTCTCTCTCTCTCTCTCTCTCTCTCTCTCTCTCTCTCTCTCTCTATCTATATATATATATATATATATATATATATATATACCGTACCAGTCAAAAGTTTGGACATACCTATTCATTCAAGGGTTTTTCTTTATTTTTACTATTTTCTACATTGTACCATAATAGTGAAGACATCAAAACTATGAAATAACACATATGGAATCATGTTGTAACCAAAAAAGTGTTAAACAAATCAACATATATTTTATATTTCAGATTCTTTAAAGTTGCCACCCTTTGCCTTGATAACGGCTTTGCACACGCTTGGCATTCTCTCAACCAGCTTCACCTGGAATGCTTTTCCAACAGTCTTGAAGCAGTTCCCACATATGCTGAGCACTTGTTGGCTGCTATTCCTTCACTCTGCTGTCCAACTCATCCCAAACCATCTCAATTGGGTTGAAGTCGGGTGACTGTAGAGGCCAGGTCATCTGATGCAGCACTCCATCACTCTCCTTCTTGGTCAAATAGCCCTTACACAGCCTGGAGGTGTGATGGGTCATTAACCTGTTGAAAAATAAATTATAGTCCCACTAAGTGCAAACCAGATGCGATGGCGTATCGCTGCAGAATGCTGTGGTAGCTATGATGGTTAAATGTGCCTTGAATTCTAAATAAATCACAGACAGTGTCACCAGCAAAGCACCCCCATACCATCACACCTCCTCCTCCATGCTTTACGGTGGGAACCACACATGTGGAGATAATCCGTTCACCTACTCTGCGTCTCACAAAGACACCGAGGTTGGAACCAAAAATCTCAAATTTGGACTCGTCAGACCAAAGGACAAATTTCCACCGGTCTAATGTCCATTGCTTGTGTTTCTTGGCCCAAGCAAGTCTCTTCTTCTTATTGGTGTCCTTTAGTAGTGGTTTTTTTGCAGCAATTCGACCACGAAGGCCTGATTCACACAGTCTCCTCTGAACAGTTGATGTTGAGATGTGTCTGTTACTTGAACTCTGTGAAGCATTTACTTGGGCTGCAATCTGAGGTGCAGTTAACTCTAGTGAACTTATTCCACAAATTAACTTTTAACAAGGCACACCTGTTAATTGAAATGCATTCCAGGTGACTACCTCATGAAGCTGGTTGAGAGAATGCCAAGAGTGTGCAAAGCTGTCATCAAGGCAAAAGGTGGCTACTTTGAAGAATCTCAAATATAAAATATATTTTGTATTTGTTTAACACTTTTTAGGTTATTACATGATTCCATA